AACCATCAAACAGAAATAATCACTGATTCCTGCTCAAATATCAACAACTTAATACAATCTAATTGAGTAGCATAGTAGTCGCCAAAAATCCTGCTATCAGGTAAAAGAGCTATAAGGTGAACATAGATTTTTTTTCTTTAGACGAAGATATCTTAACATAAAACACATTGACGAAGGTATATGCAAAACAAAGTCACCAAACTTTTATCATGCTCGATTTATGCTTCATTCAATTATGTAAGTGTTTATTTACGAAAACAAAAATGAATAAGACAAGATTAATTTACTCGATATCGTTTAAGTAATTTTTGTAAAGTTTCTCTCTATTATTAATAGGTGCACCATGATCATCATCCAATAAACGTTTAATTGCATCAATAAATAAAATTATTTCTTTACAAGCTTGTCTTGATGGTAAATTATTAATAATATTTTGATGAAGAATTTGTTCACTTCGTAAAATATCTGTCTATAATGAACAAAAAACATAATAATAATAATTATTATTATTTTACTTTAAGTGATGTCCATTTACGATGAAAACTTTCTAATGCTGCTTCAGTTGATTGTAAATCATATAAATAATAAGTTGCTAAACATTTAATTAATGCTTCTGTGTTCAAATAAACATCTCCAATATTTTCAAGACGTTTTTCCACTTCCTAAAAATAATTAATTAAGAAAAAAAAACAAAATCAACAAATTATTTTAACCATCATTCGTTCTAATTGATCTCTCATTTCAGTTATATCTCCATCATATCGTGTTCGTGATTCAATTGAACATTGACTTAATAGATCTTCAAGATTAGCTAAATTACGTTTTATATCATTAACAATAACAGTTGCACTTTTATGATTAAATAAAAGAAATATTTTGAGAGAATAATAAAAACTAATTGAACAAAAAAAAAATTAATTTTACCTATGAAATTTTTTCTCGAATATCATTTGATATTCTAATAAAATTATCTTTTACATTAACAATATCATTTTCTAATGAAACAACATTTAATTCTTTACAAAGATTTTCTATTTCATCATTTAAATGTAATAATTCTAGTTGAATAACAACTAAACGTTGTCTTAAATCCTATAAAAAAGACAAG